CTATGTACAAAATCATTTATTCTATTTTCGTTTTTTGAAAACTATATATATCGGGCATGTACCAGTTGCCTCCAAAAGTACCTTTTTTTATACCAATTCCTCCCAAATTACCAAGAGGAAAATGTACCAGTTGCCCTCACATGTTAACATATATACGATTACAATATATAGCTCATAAAATAGAAGTAAATATAAAAATCATTAATAAAATATAAAATTATTTTTAAAAACAAAGTACGAGTAAAATAGTACAATGTTGCGTGCCAACCGTTTGATCGTACATCGATGTATTTCAGTTACTCGCTCAGTCTATTCATCGCTTGGATGTAGGTTTAGTGTTATTCCTACTGTACTGTATGATATTCACGGATAACGCTGGTAACTGTACATAGAACATTCTTGTATATAAGATCAACGAAATGAACCAAAAATCAACTTCCCTTAGTACTCAGGACCCAACTCGGATGCTCCGATTTAATGTTAATCATATACATTTGATTGAAATTCTTCTCGTATTAATTTTAATGGTCGTTTAGAAACTTCATCCACAGCTTTCTGTTATAAATTATTAAAAATGGTTATTTTTGTTAAATTTTTACACGGCGAATGTTTGTGTTTGAAAACCGATTTTAAAAGCACCGTTTCGTCTTCACTTAAAGACAGCTTTGACGTACACGACTTTAATGTACTTCGCCATTTTGCACTAGCTTGTGTAATGCGATCTTTATAAAAAGTATAATTATTTAAAATTAACAAAATATTGCTCTTTTTACTATAAACTCGCGTAATATTTTCCATCGTGTTAACAACATCAGTGCTTTCCGTATTTCTTCTACTAAAATGTACTTATCAAAGATGTAGGTATACATCGTATCATATAATAGTTTCTAACAACCATAAAATTACATATAAAGATATAATAAATGATAATAATTATCCCCTCAGACGCATCTAAAATTACGCGTTTTGGTAAAATACTTGCTTTGCAAAAAGTAAGCTATTATTATTTATTAGTTATTACAAAATACAATATTGTATATTATATTTCTAATTTACAAGCATATTTATTTTTATAAATAATTTTATATTTTATTTATGATTTGTATATTTACCTCCCCTATTTTACGAGCTATGTATTGTAATATATTGTAATATTGTGTATATATTAACATGTGAGGGCAACTGGTACATTCGATTGAGGGCAACTGGTACATTTGGTTGAGGACAATTGATATATTTTTAAAATCTCGGTAACTGGTCAACACCCCATATATCTCTATACAGCTTGCCAAGTGCTGCGTTGGTATCTCTGCATAAAGCCGGGATCCCACGACTCGTGCATTTGACGAATATTTACGAATATTTATATAATCGGCAAATTATATGAATAGCCAAGTAGACTATTTCCAAAACTCTTGTAGTTGACGAATATATATGAATACTCTGATAACCATCAATTTAGCCAAAAAGCCGAGGGGCATCATTTCCACGAGTAGTCTATGTACAATTATTATAAAATATAATTATAATTATAAATTATTATACAATTATTCGCCGTAGGACCAACAATCGTCCTGTGCCCAGTGACAACTTCTTGCATTATACAAGAGAAACTTAGTTTCTTCGTCTTGTATTTTTACCCATGCATAATTTACAAGATTCCGATTCTTGTGATCAGAATGTTTTGGATTCTAAATCGATGGCTGTTGTTCATACAATTGCAAAAGTTCAAAACACATTTTATTTGACCAGTCCATACCGATGACTTAAATGATAAAGTTAAGAAATTGCTATAATTCAGCATTTAAATTCAATATTTAATTAAATCTGTTAATTTATTTCTCAGCGGATGTTGATTGTGATTTGTGATTTGTTTTGATAACAATGTAATACACTGTATAACATAATAACATTGTGAATATACCTACGTATTTATATGTCAATAAAAAAAATGTTTATACATATTTATATTGTAATAATGTACCCATATAGTATCGATTGTTATATTAAATTCGTTTATGAATACTATATTATATTGTCTCGAACACAATAATTGACGAATAAACCATCCATAGCTACGAGGCGGACGCGTACGCGTTCCTTGTTACCGTACCTTCAAATTATATACACATACGAGTACATGCAAATGCATTGCACGCAACATGACTAATTAATCAAATAAACTATATTACATGACATTTTATGTCGTACTAGTTTTTTGCCTTGCGTATTTATTCACTTTTACCGATTAAATCGTCCATTTTATATTAAGTTCTATAGGATATGATTAGTGGTTAACCATGCAATCTATAATCACTCACAGGCAGACGGTTCGCTGCTACAGCTACTATAGAGGCAGAGCTAAATATTATAATTATTATATGATGTAGACTTATAAAATGTGAATACGTCTATTGAAGTGGGTGATAGTTACGCAAAGTATAAGTACAATTATTCTATGGTTCAACAATAATTTAAAAAGAAAACGGAAGGAATATACAAAGCTCTTAATTCCTATTAAACGTTTTACTTGGGCTTTTATTAAAATTTTGTTTTAAAAATAACTCATATTTACTACAATTTTTTTACATTTAATGTTTAAATTTTCATCGCAATCAAAATATAATTCTAAGCTAAGATCGATGTTATTGTAAATGTAAAATATATGTAAATTGACATTTTATGCATAATTATAATTTCTTGTAATTTACAAATTACATAAATTAAAATTATTAATTCAAATATACTACTTAATTAAATAATAATACTTATAAATAATTATGTTAAAGGAAAACTATAAGTCTTTAACCATAAAATAAGAAACTTACATTTTTAACTACAACAGTTCAATTGAAAATTGCACTTAAAAGGATTGGCATAGGAAGTATCATCAGCGCTTTTAGTAAACTTTTAAAAATCTGACATTCTTACTAGTAATAAATTACTATACATATTACCGTACAAATAACCAGTAATTTGAATTTAGTTTTGTGCTTCTTCTCAATTTTCTTCCCCTCCTTGTGTACGCACAGTTCACTATGTTCTAACTTCGCTACTGCTCAAAAGATTTAACAGAAAAACAATAGTCAATACTTGGAAAAAAAGTGAACCATAAATTTTATCATATTTTAAATTTGAAAATCTATAAGGAAAATTTTCCTGAACTAAACGTTCGTAGTATTAAGCACTATTGGTGAAATCGATGATAAAGATATATATTTACTTATTTTACCAAATGTAATAGATATAAACGCAGGAGCGTATGCTGAAAGTAATTAAATTATTTAACAAAATTAGTTTTCCCGTTTTTTGTCAATACAGTTTAATACTAGAAAAATTAAAAATAACTTTGCCTTAAATTCATAACTTTGGTTTATTCGTCTTTCGTATGGACTTGCAGTCGTTATCACAAGTACTTAAAAATATAAATAATGCTGACTTTCAATTCAATTATAAGTACGTCAATAAACCAATAATAATAATAAATAAAAGTAAGCGTCATCGGTATACAGGATAGAACATGATACATGTTTTGAATTTGATAACTTTCAACACGTATTTTGAAATCCGAAACAAACGGTGGCATGCGTGCGTCTAAAACGTTTGTTGAAAACCGTATGTGTTAGGTTTACAATGAAATTGTATAGAAACATATTTTATCTGGAATGTAATACCAGCTTTTAGTGCACATACTGCATTATGTATACATACATATCTAATTTACTCATGTATGTGTATTTATACCACAGATTGTATTGTTATGTAGAAATAAGATTAAAAAAAAATATTGTTATCCGGGAGCCAAGGTTAGAGTGTTCATGTGTTATAATCCGTATATCATGAACAATGAACAGCTGTACAATAACCGTGTTCCAGTGCACTGTAGTCATGGTCAGCATACGTATGTAGGTTAACTGTGCTCGTAAAATCAATAGGCGCTGTTAACAGTCATTTGATCCACGAGGGAACAGGAGATATCGGAACGTCTGTACAATCCGTACTCCATATTTGTTAACATCGCACAATTGTTCTTTAAATTGCAATGAATATGTGTCTGCGAGCACTGTTTTCCTTTTTTTATTATACATCGTTCGGCGCGTGGGCTACGGGTGGGTTTTGGCCCGACATATCGGTTTCAATGTTGGAGACCCGTGAATTCCGGCCCGATGATATTTTAGCCGTAGGCAGGTTGCGGCTCGGCAATATTTTAGGCTGTAGGTGAGTTGTGGCCCTAGTGATTATCATTACCCATATACCTGTTTCTAGAAACGCAAAAAAATATTATTATTATTATTATTATATGGTATTCTTGAAATGACAAATGTGATACGACAATACTAGAAATTACGTATTATTAATAAATTTATATTGTGATGTTTATATACTATATACATTATTGTATGACCGCAATTCGTACGTACCTCTCGTAAGCCCGGGCCGCAACTCGTACGTTATTTAGGGATTGGGCCGCAACTCACCAACACCGGGTGCGCGTATTGTTTCTGGTGGCCATAGAAGCGTATTTAGGATAATTTTTCAGAGGAGGGGGCAAAACCTGTACATTCGATTTTGACATATTAACGTCAAAACGTTCACTATCCTAAATACATAAAATATTTGTATTATAAGGAAACTCAAACAAAACTTTATAGATATCTAAAACAGTGTTGCGCAACAGCTGATTTGTTCGTGGAATGTATTTCGTTATCGCGTAACTGGGAATTTTTTTTATATTTTTGAGGACGTAGGGGATTAAGGGGAGGAAAAATGAATTCGTCTCTGGGCGCATATTCGTTAAACACGCCAATGGCACAGGTGATAACTGCACGCTGCGTCTACCTGCCCCCGCACTGCGCGGCAACCGGAGAAGTCCGCGAAGCACTTGTTTCGAGTGCCGCACGCACTTGCAACGGGTTTTTCAACAATCTTATGCAACGCATCCGAAATCGTAGCTCACGGTGACGGCGCGTTATAAATGCAATCGCGTTGAGGCCCGGGCTCGAACAGCAGTAGTGCATCGTCGGCAGGCGGATTAGTAGGTGCGCGATCATTTGTCGTTCCGATGGCCCAGTCGCAGGTGACGGAGAACCGTGCGCTTCGGTGCAAACCGCGCCGCGGTGCAGCTGCAACGGCGACGACGACGGACAACAATAACGGATCGGCCGGCTCGAGCGGTTGCTTGAAAACGTCGGCGGTGGATATGGTCAGTTCTTTTCGAATTTAACGATCGTTAATCATTACTGTTACCGTACACCTCCTGTGCGCGCGGGTACGTGCTCGGGCATGCGCGCGCGCGCGCGTACTCTATAGTGTCCAGTAATCGACAGTGATCATATTATTCGTATTATAATTAGCACGAACGTGCGCGTTTCACGAGCCAAATGGCGACGTCCGATAACTATCATGTGCGCACATAAGTACGTATTGAAACTGTACATTAATCGTCAGACGTATCGTAAACGGTACAAGTTTGTGTACAATCTAGGCCAAAGACTTATCGTGGTACACTTAAACATGTTGTTGTAATACCATTATTTACAAGCATATCATATTTAATGAGAAAAAATTAGCTCATTGCTATGGGCTCGGAATACGATTTCGGATTGGTTTTTCGTACAATCATACTCCTGGTTTTATTTGAAAAATTTTACCGGTTTTATATTGGCCTTAAAGACGATTTTTTATAGCATATATTTTAATTAAAAATCAAACAACTACTTAGGTTCGCGGAGCAATTATATAGGTATATTTAGATAGTATATATTATGTATAACCGATTAGTGGTCTTAACGGAGTACCTAAATGATTAGTAAGTTAAAAATCATTCGGAAGTATAAATATAACCATCATGAACGAAGATTAACGTATTATACACGTAATATACCAACATTTAATGTATAGGAATCTTTAACTTACCCTGATTATACTGAAATTATACACACTAAATATTATCATTTATTTTATAATGGGTACTGTAAAATTATTTGTATACCCCTTCATAATTTAAAAAAATCTTATCATTATTTATATTCGATAGCTGATATTGCTTTTTAATGTGTTCACGGTCACAACTAACACCAAGTTTTAATAAAAAAATTGATATCAAGTACTCGTTATTAAACTATTATAGGTACTTATAACTATAAAGTAGCATTTAATTTTTTGTAACTATTTTGCTATGAATTCCAGAATTTAATATCTATTGGGTAAATCAGGGAAGACGTAGAAAGCCTTTAATAGCTAGAATGTATAAATTTTCTATTCGATCAATTTTAACTCAAAAATAAAATAATTTAAAAACAAATATCAACATTTATACAAGTACATATATTATAGAATACATTTCCACTTAAATTATAGTTTAGTAGTTATACATTTGAAAATATAAATATATTAATATATATAATTATAATATAAATTTGATTAAATATGAGATGAGTATTGATTGAGGACCAATACAGAAAAGTTAAATATTGAAATATGAAAACACACGAAACATTTTATAGCTATTTAATACTTGACACATTATTAAATCATTTTATGATTATAACGAAAATATGTTTTATAGAATATTAATAAATACAATATTGTTTACCCTTTAGTAACATGGAAAATATCAAATTGAAATAAAGAAAAAAATTATACTTAACGTACATTTCTGTAAATAATAATAAATGCCTATCAATAATTTTTTTCGACCTACAATCTTTTCAAAACGCAACCTGTTTATTCTATATTATTTTAAATTAGTGATAATTGGTGGAAATTGGGAGGGAAGTTTAGCCTCCCAAAGTCCTCCTTAAAAAAATACAAAAGTATACAAAATTTAGAATTTCAAACAAATTCTTAAAAAAATTATTGTAGCCCCTCAACTTCTTCAATGAATTTTCGCCTATGTTAATGATTTTCAAATATCAATACATTTCAATTCATATATATATATATATAAATATTTGGTATTTCAAAGATAAAATGAGTGTAACAATTACTTAAGAAAAAATTATGAATACTGATCTATAAATGAGCGACAAGAAAAAGTATTGGAGCTCATCACGAAAAAAAATGAGCTTAATTTCTTATTAATGTTTATACTATATTATGATATGTCCATTTACATTTATGACAAAGATAATAAAACTGATCTGCAGTGGCAGCGCCAGAGGCGAGCCACGGGCCTACCTGAAATTAACTGGTCCCATGAATGACCAATGACCAAATGGCTTGATCTTAGACATAATAATATAGTCCTATTTCATAAGCAGAATTATTTTTTAAGGATTTTTGTCATAATGTTCTAATTATTTAAAGTTTTAAATATAAAAATTAGCTTATATTAATTATTACCATTTATTTGTTTAGTTTTGACTGAAATTTTGTTTTTTGTTGCCCTACCTAATAATTGTTGGCCTCATATTGATCCTAGATAAAAAAAAAAAATTCAACGCCGCTACTGATTCAGTGAATTAATTTTTATTTCAAAGTTCAACACTTACGAATATTTAATTTGCTTTTAATTTTCTTTGAACTTATTATAGTATTTACTTTACTGTTAGTTAAACTATTTAAACTTTTATTTTAATTGCATTGGGATATTTCGTTCCACTTTTTATTGGAAAATGTTTATTTTTTAGGAAATGTATCTTTAAAAAAATTAGTTTTAATAAAATTAAGTATATTTTTGTACAAATTTTTAAAATAAAATGAAATATGAATTTGGTTTAGTATTTAACTTATTTTATATAATATTGTATTTAAGTATAATTGTATATATTGTCAAACATCGCGATCCTGATATAATCAATAAAATTGGGTCATATAACTATAATATTTAAACTATATTATTTTTACGATTTGATACTTGTACTTTATACTATGTAGACAAGAAATAAAAAATGTCAACAATTATTGACATTTAGTTTTATTACTTAAATTATTTACATATTTATATAAAAAATTATATTAACATAATATTATTTATTTAATATTTTTCTATTAATATATTATTTAATATATTTTCCTAGCGGCCGATTAACCCAAGAAAGAAAGAAAGAAGAATAATATTAATTATTTAAAACCTCGAAACATAATCGTTAATTGATATAACTTTTTTATGACAATTTGTTCAATAATAGTTTATAAACTATTTCCATGATTTCACAAATTGAATAAAATATCATTGTATTCGTTAGTTAGTTTATTAGTTAGTTACTGGTATATAAAAAAATACTATTTGACGACCGGTGGCCGCGCTTTAACCAAAAGTTACTCGATTTCATATGTTGCTAGTCGTGTTTTAATGTTTAGTCTTTACGAAATTTTTAATTCTGTTCGTTTGGCATCTCTGCAGGCTTGGCCGGTTGTGCTTAAACACAGAAAACCCAACGAGTCACATTATTAAAACATTTGAAACGTATATTAAAACGCACACAGTAACATATATATAGAATAAACTAGTTTTTTTGGTGATATATTTGTATGTATTCGTATAATATAATGCACGGCCGTTTAACGTTCGACGGACGCTCGTTTTTTTTTACACTCGTTCTTTGGAAATTAATATAATATTTCAGTCGTATTATATATATATGTAATTTATTACACAACATACACATATATTACAATATTAAATATTTTACAACTGCAACGTGAATGAGGCGCGTCCGATCGCGCAATCTTGTGCATGGTAATAGTTGTATATTGGTGTAGGTATAACGGTTCGACGTTTTAACATTATATTATATTGTCATCTGCACGACGCGTACAAGTCTAGTAAATTTGAAAACACGTCCTAATAGTATATAAAACGATGCCAAACTTTCTAGACATACTGTGCCTACGTTTATTTTACTCACACGCATAGGAACTTCATCGCCCCAAAACGGACACAATGTGCATGCACTGTTGTGTACAGTGCGCTGACTATTAAGGTACACTGCAGGGGTCAACTGCAGTGCACGTCCTAGTATTACTAACTTTGAATTTTGCGTTGTAATCAGTGAAGTTCCCAGCACGTAGGCCCGACCTAACCCTATTCTGGTTTTTTTTTTTTTTTATAATAATATTAAATGTATTCCTTACATCATTATAAGATATAAAAAATAAAAATGAATTTTATTCCAACATGATGATTTCGATCGAAACGAGTTATACTATGAACATGAGATAAACTTTAATTTACTAAGTAAATATTTTACTTGCTATTAATGAAATATTAAACTAATTTGTATTTCTTTAATTTTGATACACATGCATAATTAATATTTATTTTCTATCACATACTTTTTGATATTAATAAGTTATAAAAACTATTCGCAGTTGTAGTATTAATATGGATGTTTTATTTATTTGTGAATTTCACAAAAATTAATTCTCTATCTTAATTGTAGCTATACATATAGTGTTGCACACAATAAAACTTATTAAAAACTGATCCTCGATAATGTGGAACTTGTCATAGATGAAAATTATACTAGTTTCTAAAAGAATTAATAGAAAAAAAAATGTAAATAATTTTACTGGATATATCAGAATCTTGTTTAAAACAATATATTATTTTGAATTTTCGTTGCATGACTATCAGACATAATGACTTGTATATTTGTAAGTATGATTTTTATTTCATATATGCATTAATTCAGCCCATGGTACAGCTACTAACCTGTAATACAAAAAATAATTTAAAAATAATTGATATTTGTCGTTGAAAATTGACTAAGCTATTAACTATTTTTAAAAGTAAACGCTGTGACGTGAAGGAAACGCTAAAAAGTAAACGTCGTGATGTATGCTACGTAAACATACATAAAATGTATTCCACAAAGCGGCTCTAACCTATATATTACATTATGTTGAGGGTGTTTTACAGCGAACAAAAGTAGTTTTTTATGTAATGAAAGATTAGTATTCGCCGAAAAAAAGTCATCGTTTATTGATAACTTATAAAACGCCCTAGTGTTGTAAAAAATACTCTTGGCAATTATTTAAAATATTACTCAAATATTAATCTCAACATTTAAGAATTTAAGTGAAGCAAGAACATTTATTGGTATATGTTCTTTTTCGTACCTGTCTAGACCATTTCAATTAAAATCTCCGATTATAAAAAGGAAAGACCATTTTTGATTTTATGTAATTAGTACATTCTTAAGTTTATGTTTTGGATTTCTCAACGGTTTTATAAATAGTTGAAAAAACTTACAAAAT